GGATTCGATCCCCAAACCTGTCCTACGACTTAGGTTAGTCTGTAGTTTGGTCAGTAGGACTTGATCCCTAGGTCTGTAGATTAGCAGCTAGGTCTGTTACCAATAGGCCTAGAAAGCCTGTTCTAGAAGTCTCTACTGAGTCTGTCGAAAGTCTGTAGAGTCTGTAGGTTCCAGAAGTCCGTAGGGTTCTGTAGGGGGGGTCCAGCCAGCATGTACCTTGGTAAGGGCTGCACGTGGGGAAGGTTCTGGAGCATGCAGAGAGTTCCACACGTTTTGGCCCAGAAGGCCAAACGTCTGGAAGCTTCCCTGGGTCACACGTTTTGGCCCAGGCCCACAGGTCTGGACGCAGGATCCGGGTACCTCTGAAGAAGTATAAATAAACAGGCAGCGTCCAGCCATTCATTCATTCGCCTGTGAGCCATGCGGAAGAGCTGCCTTGGTGTCTTGTGCATGGAGGTCTGCAGGTGCCTGGAGACGAAGTGGGCAGTGAAGAAGACAGCAGCAATAGCTGGCCAGTGGGGTAGATGTCGGCGGCCATAGCCAGCAGGAGGAAGACGACGACGGCCATAGCCGCCCAGCTGTTGGTGAAGACAAGTGTTCAGAGTGTGTGAGGCTGTGCTGAGTGGGGACATTCAGGGTGATCCTCGTACGTGCACGCATGAGACAGTGAGGGAGAGAGTGAGGCTGGTGGTAGAGACCGTGTTCGGCGGCCATAGCGGCAAGTTGTGCAGCTGTTAAGATTGAGTTTAAGACAAGTTCATTGTTGTTTTTTTGAGTTGAAAGAGTTCAGTCTTGCCATCGGTTCTCAAGTGTGCTTGTTGTGAGCAAGTCCAGAGTTGAGTCTGATTGCACAAGTCTTTATCTTTTTTTTTTTCTTTCTTCTTTTTCTCTCTTCCCCATACTCACACACTTTCTTAGGCGGCGGTTTATGTGACCGTAATTATGCCGGATTCGGTGACAAGAGTCTGAGTTTAAGTATGTGCTAAGAGGCTCTCTTATTTCTGATCAGTTAAGCCTGCCGTGTTCCCCGGAATACAATGTACAATGTACACCGTACGGTCATTATCGCTGTCTCTATCTTGCTGACTGTTGCCTTAATTTCACAGCTTTAATGACCTTTCGTTCAGTTCCGGGGAAGGCGGTAGTGTTGTGGACAAAATCAACCCTTGCAACACCATCCTTGCTCCCTGTATGGTGAAAGTTTACTGCATGAAGTACACACACACACACACACACACACACACACACACACACACAACACTGTTTCCTTGCCGGATTGATTCATTTCAAGCATGCTTCATCTTGTACAATAGAGGTAAAGTTGCTGCGATTTTGGATCTACTCATCAAGGTGGAACAGGGGATGTTGTGGTGAACATTCACAACACACACACGGATGCCACCCTCCCCGGCTGGAATCAACGGAATAAAGTAAGGAAACAACTGCCAAAGATCGCATTCAGCAACAATGGCCCGGCCAGAGGGTGGTAGAAGAAAAAGGGAATAGATAACCAACGGCAAAGACTGAGTAGACAGAATCTTGTATTTTACTATTTTACTATTATGGTGAAAAAAAGAATTGCGTGACTAGTATTAAGGCTACCGTGCTCCCCTGAATAGAACGGACGATCATTTTCGCACTATCTAACTTTCTGAGTGTTGCCCAAAAAGGTTGTTTAATATGCAATAATTACCGTACGTTCCCGTCAGGGGACGAAGGTAGTAGGGTGGATTAATCCAACACAGTCTCGTATTTTGGTGAAAATAACGGAAATATGAATTGTGTGACTGGTAATAGTTGGCGCATATGTATGAAATGAGGAGGAGGAGAAGAGAGGACCATGTACCACCAAACTAGACGGTGCCCTTCCCATTACCGCTTCTGTTCCCTTCTCATTCCCCTTCTCGTTCCCGTTCCCGTTCCCGTTACCTCGGGAACAACAGAAGTATTCCCAATATGGAAAGCCAGGCGCGATTCCTGGTTTGTAATATTTCTTTTTGGTAAAAAAAAAAAGAAAAGAAGTATCCCCGCTATGACAGAAAACAATGTTGAAAGTGAAGGGTGCTAGCTCACGCAGTTGGTATTGAAAAGCACTTTTAAATATAAAAAAAGTTTTAAAAACTTAAGAAAAGGCTTGGTCAGTCGGTACTATGACCGTATTGAATAGCTCTCTTTAAACCACCAGTACCTCGCCCAGCTGAAAAACAAAGTCCTAAGGCATTAACGACTGGGACTTTCGGAGGTGGGGCATACAAGGCCTGGTAGCATCCATTTTTTGTCAAAAAAATAAATAAATAGAAAAAGTGAAAAACAACATGATAAAAAATAAAAATAGAAAAGAATTAGAGGTTTGTTACCGCGCGCAGAGAGAGAGAGAGAGAGAGAGAGAGAGAGAGACAGGCCAGTTGGGAATGAATCTTCCCTCAAACACGGGAAGATTCATTCCCTTCTTCCACATTTGAACTGTGCAGAAGACTCTCTCTCTCTCTCTCTCTCTCTCTCTCTCTCTCTCTCTCTCTCTCTCTCTCTCTCTCTCTGTGACTTCCTTCCCTCCCCCCCCGCACAGTCCCTAGTTTGCAAAACGGGAACAAATCTTCCCGCAAGCACGGGAAGCTTCATTCCCTCTCTCTCCCCTCCCCGCTTCCCCCCCCCCCGTTTTATTTCTTCTCTTTTTTTACCGTTTTAGAAGCTCGCTCGGTTTCTTTTTTTTTCTTCTTCTTTTTTTTGCTTTTTGGTTTTTGAAAAATGAAGATGAATCCACTACCGGTAGCTCTAGGCTCGGCAAGGCTCGGCTAACCGGTAGCGGGAGACTTACTTGATAGCTGGGTGAGGTACTGGCGGCTTAAAGGACCACTACCTTTGATGTTTTGGAGGCCGGCCTCAAAGTTCGAATTCAGAGGCCGGGAGCCGCCGATGGAAAATATCAGCAACCACCCGGCGCCGGATTTTTCGGAGTAGGTTACTTTTGAGAATTTGCGTCCAGTGAGAGAGGTAGTGGTGGTTTATCTTTTTTTTTTAAAAGCAAGAAAAACTGGAAAGGAGTTTGAATCCAGATGGAACTAGAGGGATGAAAATGCACGAAATCAAATATTTCTGAATTATATCTGAAGGCCGTCGCCCCTTTTTTCCTTTTCCTTATCGTGTTTTGGTTCATGAGGAAACTCAGAAAAGGTAATTTTTTCTAACAATTGCACTTTCTGAAGGGTTTGGTTACCCTTGCCCCTTGCCCCTTGCCCCTTACCCCTTGCCTGCTTAGATGTCGTCCTATTAGGTTTTTTTTTTTGTGGTTCTCAGTTGCCTTGTTCTGATTGCTAAGAGAGACACTTCCTTCTCAAACCACCACTACATTTCCCAGCCATTTTTTCAGAGACCCGGGCGCCGCTTTGTGGACATCCGTCCAGGCAAAACAGGCCTCGAGTGCAACCTGTTTTGCCTGGATGGATGTTTAGCAAAACGGCGCCTCGGTACATCCTGCCCAACGTAAAGGTTGTGCAGATTCAATCCCTAGATTTTGTTTTTTTTTCAGCGGTTGTGCAGATTCTATCCCTAGATCTTGTATTTTTTCAGCTGTTGGGCAGATTCGATCCCTAGATCTTGCATTTTTTCAGCGGTTGGGCAGATTCGATCCCTAGATCTTGTATTTCTTCAGCGGTTGTGCAGATTTGATCCCTAGATCTGTGGCATGATAGACAGTTTGTAAACCTACTGGGCCGTCTCCTTGTTCTCTCCATGTAGAAGTTTAAACCGCCAGTACACAGCCCCAGCCCTGCTGAAAGTTTAAACCGCTGGTACACAGCCCCAGCCCTGCTGAAAATGCTACTCATTGCCTACGAACTTTGAGGAGGCTCGTCCTACCAGACCACAATGGCCGCCAGCGCCAGCCAAATAAGAAAGGAAGTGAGTCATTGGCGGTGGTTCGGAAAAGCTTGACGCGCAGTAAGGTGCCTCCAGGCCCAGGTGTACTGGTGGTTTAAACAGCTGTTCCTTGGAACAGGTGTTTTGCGAAGACGAAACGCCAGCCACTTTAGGACATCTGTTAACTTGGGAATGACAACCACACAAATTGAGAAATATTCTGAAATAGTCCAAAGATTCAAAGAATTGAAAGAATTAATGTGGCGGTTGTGTGGCCCTGCAAAAGGATAACCACCAAATATGGAAATGTGCAAAGAAAATGAGCGATAGCGAATTCCAGAAACCAAGCAGCATCATACACATGAAACCAGATAGCCTCTACCTCGAACCAAAAGCAGAATTGCAACTTGAGTTCCACCAAATAAGAGCACAGCAAAAGCTCACAAGTGAGAATGTTGGAATAGTCTCATCATCATCAACAATGAACCAATGTTGAATCCCTATCTGGTGCTCAACGCCCAGACTACGAATGGCAGATCCTATCTAGCTTATCTACAATGCCACTGGTGACGTCAACAGCTTCCCGAAGTACGAGCAGATCTCGGCCAATGCCGTTCGCCTCAAGCACTACGTATGTCTCACGCTTCACTCACAACCTCGATCCCGCGCACAAATGCCACATGCTTTTCTAAGGACTCAAACACATTCATCGAAGAGAGGATCGATTAGTCCGAATGTGCTTGCGGGACGATGATAGAGTCAATAGCTTGGGCCATCTCTCGAGATGCTGAGGGTGTGTCCACCAGCTCGACCCTAGCAGGAACAACTATAATTCCTATTGGCCCGACGTGTTTCCCGAAGCAGTGCCAGAACTGCTGGCAACGTAACAACTATAATTCCTACTGGCTCGACGCGTTTCCCGAAGCAAGGCCAGAACTGCTGGCAACGTTGCTACCCTGGGAAGCGGAGGAGACCGGCCCCTGCCCCATCGTAGGCGGGATCTTCTCTGTCACTTTACGATTCCGGCACTTAAACTGCGTGTGACCATACTAGCCATAGTGAATTGGGGTTTACTTGACTCTTTGACCGGGAACCTCCACGGCGTCTACCGGTCGCCTTACCTTCTTGTACCGAGGCAGCGGTTGCTCCACCCCGTGAAGCTTCTGCGCTACCTAACTCTCTACTCCCATCTGGAAGTCGTCGTCTAACTCTATGGAGGTACCATCATTGTCGACGAACATAATGTGCCCCTTGGCCTTAGGAGGTAATGCCTTTTTCTGACCATCCGTAGTGGGTTGGTGCCCATGCCCGATCTAGGGCCTTCTTGCTGAACGAGGGGAAATTGTGGACCGTGATTATGGGCCCACTTGCCAACTGGTTCCTGAGCTCTACGGGGAGACACCTCAGGTAAGTGGTAAGTAAGACCTGGGGGTCGTAACGCACTGCAGGACCACAGATCAGCCGCTCTACCGCGTTTGTGGCATCCCTTACTGACCTGAACTTCCTTGAGCTCAGGGTCAATATCATGTCGGTGACCTTTTGAGCCTCCAGGGGGAACGTACCCACTCAACCACCTCGCTGCACTCCCTTCCAGATAGGAGGCAGCCACAAGTACTTCCTTGTGAGGCAAGGTTATTTGCACTTCACAT